ATGAGATATTCTCTAATGAAATTTGGTACACTGTGTGTGTGTCGTGTTTTGATTCAATGTAGAACGCTATTGAAAATTCTTCGGTTCGGATCGGATTATTTTTTTTGACCACTTCCCATATAACGCGGTAGTTTGAAAAGTCGTTTCATGAAAGAACAAATGTGTTAAGCGAATTTGTGTAGGATATTTAATGGTGTGCCGTCGCCCAGTATAACGTTTTTACTTGTTAAGATTGTCTTTTCATAATTAAAATATAAATATACAAAGAAGTCCCAAAGCTCGCATTTTTTTTTTTACTTGAGAAATTTATTATAAATAAATGCTTTTTATTAATATTATACCTAATATATTGCTATTTTTTGTCGTAAGGTGAATGTCAATTACAGAACCAGTTAAAAAATGAAATGTACCTTAAGGCGAATCCTTCATACTCACTACTTCAACTCATTGCAATCTAGACTTGACAATTCTTGGGCGTAGTCCGGTCATAGGAAATGTGTCGTAATAGGCTTTAGGTGAAGACCACTTAAGTTTTATTGGAATTTCATGGAGTTCAACGTTTCAGAACAATTTTCATTGAATTTTTCGGTATTTTGGATATTTTACAGATCGCAATTTACCGTTTTTTCTTTGTTATGAGTGAATTTTAAAAGATTTGCTTATACCACAATCGTTTAGTAACAATTTTTTCCTAAATTTCAAACCAATATTTGCCTTTGCGATTGTAGGATTTTTTTCCCCCTTTTACTACTATTGTTGTGTTGCTTGTTTCGTGTTTTTCTTTATTTCTTGATTCTCGTAATTGCGAAAATTTTAAATAAAAGGGGAATTACGGCGATCAACTATATATTTTATAGTGTGTCGGTTTCGTGATTTTGAATGCTGCAAATTGAACGATAGATTTCCTGTGAATCTAATATACAGGGCAGATGAAAGTTTTACTATTGGTTTTTTTTTTGATGGTTTCAACGAATAGAATAAAAGCATTTCGTTTCCCAAGCTGATCAAGAATATAATAGCAGGTATATATTGCTTGTTTTAATGTTTTATTCACCTATAGTTGATACTCTTACATTATACCTCGTGATTAGTCCGTTTCTTCGCCATCGTCATATAATAAAATGCAAAACGTTTAGTTTATTTTTTGCTTTGAAAGATTTGACTCCAAGTTTACAACATCATAATAGCTTTGAGGAGGGGAAGAAAATAAAATGAAAAAATAAATCATATTTTCGGACATAGAGCGTTTTATTATTTATTCATAAACTTTTTCGTTACTTTAATGCGTTCAGCGAAAGAAAGAGAAAAATTTTTTGCTAACGAAAATAATTATATAAAAATTAAGTTGTTTTGTATATATATTTTTTTTTATTATTATTATTATTATTTTTTTTTTTTTGGAAAATATTTATTTATTTTTTATAATTACGTTAAGCTTGCTTTGTATTTTTGAAAATTATACTTTAATTAAAAAACATATTATATTTTATATAAAACATAACACAGCTATAAAATGAAAGCTTTTTATTTTTCAAACTTAATTTAAATAAAAAAAAATCTATATATGGCCACGTTCATACAAAAAATTAAAAATGTATAAATAAAAATTGAGAAACAAAAAAAAAATGGAATAATTAAGAAAATATATATACAGTTAAAGAGAAGGAACGAACATGAAACAAATATATGGAGAGTATTAAGGCATGTTTTATAATTAATATTATTTTTTAATAAACATACGATTCTCGTTCACTAATGCTGGCTTAATAACTAAATTTGTGTTTTTTTTTTTAAACATAAACACAAAGATGCAATTTTATAATTATATGCATTCAAATGCTTAACTGTATTTTTACATAATTTTTACATAGAATAAAAAAAAAAAAAATAATATATATAAAAATATTTGTTTTAATAAAAACTCATTTTATACCCTTTCTTTTGTTTCCATAATTTGTTTTTGAATTTAATATTTTTTTAGCTTTCGATTGAAGTTTTATTGCTCACAATGATATCAAGTAAACGTTTCTTTTGTAATTGTAAGCAAGTCAGTTGACCTAATCGAAATTTTAAAAGCTATTGCCAAATGTTTGCCCAAAATTCCGTGTGTTTGACAATAAGGACTTAAAAAAAAAATTCTTCTTTTCTTCAATGCCTAACTCCAGCAAGGGTGCTAGTCCATTTTAGAGAGCATGGTCTATAAAAAATAACTTATGGGTATCTTGCGCCGCAAGTTTCAGTTTTTTATGCATCTACCATAGCTCTGAAAACAAACAAAAACCGAGGGATTAACGCGTGTTCGCTTCAAATTGTCATCCCAATCGAGAGCCGGTTTATAAGCGGAATGATACAAGTTCTACGGTTCTTCCATGATGAAGGAAAACAAAATACTGATCTATCGCTCACCTCAAACTAATATGCAAACAATGCAAAGTATTTTGCCAGGTGGTCGATGGTGGAACTTTTTTCAGACGATCCTGGAAAGCATTGATTTTATACTTTAGATAAACATTTGTCAATACTTGTATTAATTATAATCACAAATGGACATATGCGCTTCTCACGCTTTTTGCTAATCATTTTCGAATACCTTTTGGGGGTATGACAAATCTAATAAATCCACCATTACTATAGCGCGGAGTGTAAAAAAGGGTCGAAAATCTTTCAAGTAAGTGTATAAGTGTGCTAAACTAATTTATATGCTATGGTTCGTTTTCAAAATCGTTCTGCTTCAAATTTTTTATCAACGGATGGACTTGGTCTATAGGTAGCAAAATAGGTAGTACAAGGAACGCGAGATAATTGCTCTTGCTTGGCTTTCAATAAAAATTACGTAAGCTGGAAACAAAATTAAAACAGTTTACTTTCCTTTATTGAAAACAAAAGAAAACCATAGATAAATAAAAAATTGAAACACATCAGATGGGCTTGCTGCATATAACATAGCATTTGTTCGTACAGTTGGGGGCAGTGTGTATTCGATTTGAAATGCGTAAAATAACTGAAGACTTATGAGAATATGAATATAATAATAACAACAATCTCCTTAAATATGTTTTCATCGTTTGAAGATTTAGTTTCGCTCTATCAAATCTATTGAAGCATTGTTAACAGTATTCGATATTATCTCAAGATTAAAAAAAAAAAAAAAAAAAAAAAAAATGCACTAAACTTTTATTCTATAAAGACAAGGAATAAAATTTGTTCTAGTTTTTTTCTCCATTGGAAAATTTCGTTACTAAAGTTTCTCACGGAAAAAGCTTTTCGTTAAAATTAATGTATATATATAGGGTGTCCCAAAATTTACACAAGACAAGGAAGAAAGATTTTCTTCGATCATAATCTACACAGGATATCGTTCTATGTGTACAGATCTTTGACTTCAAATAAACCCCTTGGGGTTGGCCTAATTTTGTTCGCCGAAACGCGGAAGCACACGACATGGCGTATTGTTCACCTTAATTTCAGCTAAATTGGCGCGATATCGGCCATCAGTAACATTGCTGGCCGCTAAGCTTTAACTGTTTTTGAAATTTAGTTCAACAATGGAAACGCGTTGTTCTCTCGTGCAATTTTTTTTGTGGGTCGCCAACGCTTCACCGCACAAATTATGCGCAAATTTCGGGACACCCTTTATATACATGTATATATATATATATATATTTGTGATATATTTTCCAACTTAAATTCAATATTTCTATAACTCATTGTGTATTTTAATAAATTCTCATTCATTATTTTTGTAATTTATTTTGTTTCTATTAATTTTAACACAAAGTGAGTAATTTTTTTTCTCTTGTTGTTTTATGATGATTGTAATATAGTGTTTTGAAACTCAATTTTTGAACTCTCGAGAGAGATACAATTCCTTTTTAATAAGTAATTTACTTAAAATAAGCAAAAAGTTTATATTCATCACCTAAAGCAACAATATATAACACGTCTCAAAGAACCCGCTTTTTAATTATTATAATATCAAAAAGAAAAAAAATTTGAAAATGATTTATATATATTTTTTCGCAATTATATATTATATTTAATTGACTGTGACAAGTATAGACTTCTAATTTTCAATCAATATTCGTGCGCTTGATCTGTCCATGCGTCCCTGTCAGATTTTCTCATGCAATTTTATCATTATGAATATGCATTTGCCATTATAGAATGTATTTTAGAATGTGTGTATGTCATTTTGTCAAGTTATTGCATTAAAATTTAATTTCATATTACACCTGCTCTATGTTTGACTCGGTATACTCGGTCATCGCTAAAGAGGTCGGCTTAGTTAACTGGCCAAAAAAGCAATTGGCGTAGAAGCAGCTATGGGTCATGTGTGACCATTTTCTAATTTAACGATGACAAGTGATACGAAGAGAATCTTGCGCAAGAGCCTAGAATCCCATTTTAATATAATGTGTTTTTCACATTTTATTAACTCTAGGTAACGCGTATGACAAATCTCAGATATCGTTCGTTTGATTAGTACGAAAATCATTTCCATTTAGTGAAGTTAAAATTAATAGATTATATTGTCCTTGATGCATGTCTTTACCAATTTCCTAATTTAAAATTAAAATGGTCAGTTATTAGAGACGACACGAGCGCCTAGGCTAAGCTGGGCTAAGTTGCTAAGGGTTCCCGAGGACTGCTTCTAAATGTTGCAAAAGAAATATCATCTTTGGTGATTAAATTAAAAGAAAAAAAAATACTTTGTTTGCCCAAAAGAAAAAAAAAAAATAAACAAAAAATTATTTTTAAAAAATGTTTACATCAGTGACACGTGAAATATATATTTTCTTTTAAAATTTATAAATATTTGGAAACAGTTTTAATTTACTATTGTTTTCCTTGTTTATGGAATATGTTGCATTAAAAAGATATAAAAAAAAATTTGATTGAGGGAATTATTTAAAAATGATGATAGAGGAGATTTTTTATTTGGGAGCTTTTTCAGTACATTAGTTAAAAATTAAATTGTATTTAAATTTTTGTGGGTTTAATTTTTTTTATTTTTTTTTGTTTTCTTTTTTCGTTTTTTTGTTCTCTAAAACTTACAACTAAATATACGCACAAACACATATAATAAATACAATAAAATGAAAAAGTAAAGAAGAAAAAAGAGAGAAAGCTGTATATTAAAGTTTACAGCTAAAAATTTATGTTGGGCATAACACCTTCAATATATAATCCGTTAATAGCGTGGGCACAGTTGGACTGTCCTCATTAATGGCTTTGAGTACTGTATATAAGATTTGCACTTTTTATTAATATCGACTTCAAAAATGAAAGAGAAAGAAAGAGTGCATCAGGTTTTACTTACTTTTTATTAATACTTGCAAACTTTGATTGTTTGGTGTACCCATTTCCATGTGATACGGTATGACTGTTGTCAAGTATTTCGGTTCTGGTCCTTGAAATTTGCCTCGTTTCTTTTCGACGTGATACTGGCGCCGTTTATTCTGCACGGCCAATAACAGCGAAATAAATGAGTTTTTCAATTCCTTTTCATATTCCAATTCATCGCGCAAGGCCAGTTCATTGATTAGAGTTTCGCTAAGCTCTTGTATTAAGACTTCCATTTCCATATAGAGTTCATTCAGTTGCATTATTGATAAGTATTGCAATTCTGCAAATAAATTCGATACAGATATGTTCATTATTTATTTATTCTTTTATTTTATTTAATATTTATTTATTTATATTTTTTTCTTTTTATCGTATACTTACTTTCGGCGTAAAGAGGGGTACCTAAAACCTCTTTGGCTTTTTCCATTATTTCGGATACGCATGGTTCGGTTTCTTCTTCGGGATTATCGGCCTCATCGATAATATATTCGATTTCCTTAATAACTTCCTCAACACTTTTTATGGGCTCATCGGGTTCATTGTTTAAACCGTTCAATATTAAAGCATGCATATCCAAATCATTGGCTATGGCCTCATCTTCACTATTCATTTCATCGCCTGGCGTACCGGGAGCGTCGTCTTTCTTAACCGGTTTTTCACCCAAATTCAAAGTCGACATATGTAATTTGCGAGCATAAGATTTCGACCAGTCAATGGGTAATATATTGCCAAAATTACCGGTTATAGTCCACCACATTCTGTAAAAGAACAAAATCAAAATGAAATTTACCTATAAAAGTGGGATATAAATATACATATATATATAGATGTATATATTATTTTTTTGGTTGTTCAGTTTAACACCAAAAATTATTACAATTGTTTTAAAGTAAATTTTTTTTAACGTTCAACATCCTCAAAAAAAGTATGAATTTGATTTTTTTTTAATGCGGGAACGTACGTTGGGTATATTCAAGATATATGGAAAGATAAGATTTTTTTTTTTTTTTGGTCACTCAGGGAATACCGTCTATACAGGCATACAGGGACGATAGTAGTCAGGAAAGTTTGTAAGTAGAGAAGGACGGAAGGAGGGAATACTCTTTGTGTACGTTTAATTTAAATGCGAAAACATCAAGCACGTCGGGGAAAGAAATAAGAAAAAAAAAAAAAAACGAAACGCATCTCCTATTAATTTTACGGTATGTATTTCCTATTCACAACCTCTCTTAGAAGATTCTACAGCCTGTTTGGTCTGTTTAACCATAGTGGACGAGTATACAAATCTATCAAAGTAGCCGCAAAGCATGACGCGATTGGCTTTCAAGATATGATTTCTTTCATTGATATCAAAATTGATATGGATCAATGAAATCTTTATCGTTAATTATAGACTACCCAGCGACTTTCTATGATTATTCGTGTGGTCGGCTTTAATTTCAAGGGTGTGAAGATAAATTCGAATTTAACTAGTAAAGACCCCTACCATTTCTATTAACATACCTCTGTTAACGACTTAACAGAGCTCATGTTAAATAATTGCAATTGAGATATAGTTGGATTGAAAGCCTAATCCGTCCATATTAAAAAAAAGAAAATATTTTTGTGGACATTTCATGAATCCATATAAAACTACCTTTCAAACAAACTAAAAAAATTCAAATTCTGCTTATGGAAACTATTTTTAACGGTATTTGAAATTCAGTATGTTAGCGAAAACTGTATATGAAAAAACACCCAAATTTGACACTCTAGTGCGGCCAAACTAGAAATTGTCGCCTATATTCACCTATATCACGTGAATCTATATGAAAATACCTATCGATTAAGTAAAAAAAATTCACACTTTGCTTTCAGGAACTATTTTTGCCGATTTTTTGAAATTTGGTATGTTAGCGAAAAATGCATATGGAA